CTTAAATGAGGATAAAATTCTTCTATAATTGCCAAATTATTTTCTCCAGCTTGCATTTCAGGAAGGAAAGGGATTTGACAAAATTGAATCCATCTAAAAAATAATTACACATGTTTAATTTTATTTAAATCGGGGGAAAAAAAAAAAAAAAAAAATTCAAACTTACTTTGAATTTATATTCGAAGATTTTGGTAAGCAATCCCAAAAAACATTCGGATGAGGACATGATAATGCTATAAATTTACTTATTAAGTTCGGGTAAATTGTTACAAAATAATACCCAAGATAAGCACCCAAGTCATGTCCGATAATAATTTTCGATTTGGATTGAAAGGAAATAATGAGTTGATGAAGTTCATTTATTAATATTCTAGTTCTGTAACTGAGTTTTGAAACTGGTTTATCAGAATCTCCAAAACCTTTTAAATCGATAGCAATCACCCTAAAATTAATAAATTAAAATTTATTTATAAAACAAATGTGATTATGCGACGAGTACCTGTTACGACAAGTATCAAAACTATGTAGAAACATGTAGAAAATTGTTTTTTTTTTTTTTTTTTTTTTTTTACAAATGAAAAGTGGTAAAAATTAAATTTTTTTTTAAATGTTAATTATTTAAATTGAAGTAAAAAAAAATTTTTAGATTTTTTTTTTTACCTAAAATATTCAGATAAATATTTAATTTGATGTCTCCATCCGAACCAACAATCGGGAAAACCATGTAACATAATAATTAATGGTGAATTAATATCTCCAGCTTCGACATAATGAAGTTTCAAACTCTAAAATATTAATTAATTATTTATTAATTAGTTAATATTTATCAGAAAATAAATTCTCTAAATTATATAATTGTTTTTAAGAAATATTTTAATGGTAATTTATATAATTGAATTGCATCATCATAACTAATTTAATGAATAATTTGAATTGTTTTAAATTTTTTACTTATTTGTTCTTTTTTTTAAATCAAACAAAAAATTTGTTATTTTATTTTAATTTAATCTAATAATTTACAATTTTATATTTTGTTTTCAAGTTATTTTAAACTAAAACTTTGTTGTAATGTCAAGGTAATTTTAAAATAAACTTGAACTCTTTTTTTTATTATTCTAGGGGACTTTTTTTTATTTATTATTTCACCGTATAAAAGTATTGTAATTAAATCACGGTGTACTTAATTATCCAGAGTTTAAGTGAAGAATTAAAAAAAAAAAAAAAGATGGTAACTAACCCCTATTTTAATATAAGAATGTGAACCTAAAGTGTTATCAACTAAACACGGTGGAGGTTTATCACGGATTTCGCGTAAAACTTTTTCTGATTTATAAAGTCTTTTAAAAACCCGAATTATAATAAACCATATTGCATAAAAAACCGAAAAAAAATGTAATTTAAGTTTATCTATCCTAGATATAGGTTCATAACATGACTTATCGGTAGATATCGCCATTACATTTAAATAAATAAAGGTCACATTTAAAAAAAAAAAACTGAAAAAAAAATCACTGTCCAGCGTGAACCGCTGAACTTTCGCAACTTTAAATACTCAAAAATAACATTGATCGCCATATTTGTCGCAAAATTAAAAATATATTCATTCTGCTCGATATTCTGTTTTTTTTACGTATTCTTCTGGAATTTTCTAGAAACTTGCTGTGAATTTTTTTTTTTTTATTTACAAGGAAATCTCTATACAGTTCACTATAACAGAT